ATCATTAAGTGTTCCTATATCAATGATATCTATTTTATGCTAGCTTTATATATCTACAAAAAAATAGAAATGCTAGAAAAAAATCGGCTATTTGTAACTCAAAGTTTTTGTGTACATAGACATTCTTAAATGTGTGAACATGACACACAACCATAAGTTTCATATACATGTAAAAGCTATTATATTTTTGTCTCTGTTTTTTTTTGCTACAAAAAAACACACACAAAACTACTTATCGTTGAGTGACATCAGTGACTTACTACAAAGTCCTAAGAAAAAAAAAACAGTCACAGATGATATGAATTTAGGATGAGGTTTAATCGGATTATTATTTAAATCATCACATATTCCACCATTATCGTCTTTTTTCATAGATGATTAAATAGAAAAATAGCAAATATGACAAAACAAGTAAAATGTGACAGTTAATTTTTTTTTTTTCTTTTGTACGATTGAGATTTAATCAGTTAATGTAATTTTGAATTTTGAAAAATACAAACAGATCACACACGACTTTAAGAAAGAAAAAGGCAAAAAAAGTAAGAATCCCACAAATTTAATTTAGTTTTGGTTTGTATAGGAGAGGAATACTTCAATGGGCTTTTGTTGAGGTTAGGAAAGTAAACAACTATCACAAAAAGTATCCTAGTAGTTAGAAATGTCTTATAGTTATAAAATCTTGTTGAACAAAAAAGAAAAAGTTATAAAATCTTAAAGGGTGACCATGAGTATAAATGACTCTACAATTCGCCGGTCTCAGTGATTTTTAAAATATATTATTTTCGTATTTAACAGCAAATAATTGTCTCCATTAAAATAAATAAAAAAGACAATAGCGTATGAACGCATATAATGTACTTTTTCGATACTGCATAGTTCTTATAAAATTCTCTTTCTCTATAAACGTTACGGACAAAGACCACCTAACTGTGCTTAAGATCTCTCTTTTGTTTGAACTCTTCTCCCTTTTAGATTCTAGGTCAAACCCTTGATCGATTCTACGTGATCCAACTTTTTTTAATATTTTTTAATTCGACGATAAAGCTCTCTCCTTTACTCCGGCGATGGTTTTAGCGGCGAAGCAGACTCTCTCCGCCAAGATCGGATTCTCCACTCCCCTCTCACGGCGAAACCCATCATCCTCCTCACTCCAACGATCTCCCCCTTCTCTCTCCTTCCCATCGACAAACCTCCCTCTAAAACGCACCGTTTTAGCCCTCTCCAAGCCGCTTCACCTCTCCTCTCTCCGAGCAAAGCCCCCGGTGAGATGCGACGCATACGAAGCCGACAAGTCTGAGCCTCAGCCGATCGATGAAACGAAGTCGGAGGCGGCGAAGAAGTTGAAGATCGGAGTTTATTTCGCTACTTGGTGGGCTTTGAACGTTGTGTTCAATATCTACAACAAGAAGGTGTTGAACGCTTACCCTTACCCATGGCTTACCTCCACGCTCTCTCTCGCCGCTGGGTCGTTGATGATGCTTATCTCTTGGGCTGTTGGGATCGTTGAGACTCCGAAGACTGATTTTGATTTCTGGAAAACTCTTTTTCCGGTAAGTGGGTTGGTGGGTGGAGGATAAAAAAAGTTTTGTGGGTTTGTTGCTTAGAGATGTAAAGGTTGACACTTTAGGTTAGATATCGATGTTTACGATGATGGGTTTAGATCTTTGCATGAATATTTCTTGTTTTGTTTTTACCTGAACTTTGTATGCTTCCTGGGAGAGAGAGAGTGAGAAGAAAACGATGTTTAGTTTTGGCTGTGTTTGTTCATAAGCTGTTTATTGTGTTAATTTCAGTAGCTAAAATTTGGTGAAAGTAATAAACTTTTTTGGTGTTTTGTTGTACTAAAATTTGTTTTTTTTTGTTGGATTGGGTTTTTAAAGGTTGCTGTAGCGCATACAATTGGTCATGTGGCTGCAACGGTGAGTATGTCAAAGGTGGCGGTTTCATTCACTCACATCATAAAGAGTGGTGAACCAGCGTTTAGTGTTCTTGTCTCGAGGTTTCTTTTGGGCGAAACTTTCCCTACTTCGGTTTACCTCTCCCTTATTCCCATCATTGGTGGTTGTGCTCTCTCTGCCCTTACTGAGCTTAACTTCAACATGACTGGTAATATCAGTTGTTATGTCTTTGTGTTTCTGTAAGCCATTGTGTAATAAATCTTTCTGATTCTGCTCTTTCAGGTTTCATGGGAGCGATGATTTCGAACTTGGCATTCGTCTTCCGTAACATCTTCTCAAAGAAGGGGATGAAGGGAAAGTCTGTGAGCGGGATGAACTACTACGCATGTCTCTCAATGCTATCACTCTTGATCCTCACGCCCTTTGCATTTGCGGTTGAAGGACCTCAGATGTGGGCTGATGGCTGGCAAAAGGCTCTTTCCGACATCGGACCTCAGTTTGTTGGGTAACTTCCCTCTAAACACTCTTTGAAACTCATAGTGTCGGTTTGACGTTTTGTCATGTTTAACGTAAGCCTTGTCCTGTTCCTATAATCCGTTGTGAAAAAGACCCTTTTATCAAGTTCTTGTCTTTATCTTTCAAAACTCTTGTTTTCATCCTTATCATTTGAGAGTCTTTTGGATATATATTTTTTTCGTGAGTAGGCCAATGAATCCATCTCATTTGCTTAACCCATTTCTCATTCTTTTCTGTCAAATTTTGTAGGTGGGTGGCTGCGCAGAGTGTGTTCTATCATCTCTACAACCAAGTGTCTTACATGTCTTTAGACCAAATCTCTCCCTTGACGTTTAGTGTGGGTAACACCATGAAGCGTATCTCAGTCATCGTCTCCTCCATCATTATCTTCCGTACTCCAGTCCAGCCCGTTAATGCTCTTGGAGCTGCCATTGCTATCCTTGGAACCTTCTTGTATTCCCAGGTAAAACCACACAAACCTTAAAATGACCAATATACCCCCTGTTATCCATATCTAATAAGATAAGCGTCTCTTGACTTCACCTCACAGCCACATGATGACCCTTTAACCATATGATGAGACTAACTACATACCTCTTCGACATTATTAAGAACCAACTTAGTTTATTTGCTTGGGTTACTCCTGAAGTAATATAGTTGAAGTCCCAAAGATTTGAGTCTTGGTCCTAATTTTTCTTTAACCGCTTGTGATGCAGGCAAAGCTTTGATAGGGCAAGACATGGAGTGTTACAGTCCGATGTTGAGCTCGTGATCTCGGTTAAAACCGGGGGTAAAGAGCTTGATGTAGATATGTGTCCTCAATAATGAAGAAAATGATGAGAATGGAGACGACAATATTTAGTGTGTTAGATAGTCCTTTTTTAAAATTGAGTGTTTTGGATTCAAGTGTTTGAATTTTGGGGAAATGAGATGATTGTCTCTCTGTAACTAAAGTGGGAGATATAAATTGTCCCCTTGAGAATAATACGCCCCCCTATACAATGAGTGATATTATATTACTTCGAGATTTCCTCCATTTTGTACATATGCATAATATTTCAGTTCATATAGTTCCCGTTGCATGATCTTATTTAAGGGTAAACAAATTTAGGTTTGGATTTTCAAAAGTAGAGATTTAATGTTCACTTTACAAATTGGTACAGGTTGGTTCGGATTTTTGAGAATTTGATTAGAGATACATGTTTAAATTATGTAAACAAATTTAAATATATTAGAATTTTCAAAATCTAGAAATAAAATAATCTACAATATATAAATTTGAATAATTGATGACTAAAACTTAAAATTAACATGAAACTTGATTCTGTTTGGATATTTTGGTAGATAATCAGCAGGTATTTACTATTTAGCATATTTCCGGTGTGCTAAGTCCTTTTTTGATTATTTTTGCATATCTACTTTTTGGTTATTTTTGAATATTTTGAAGTGTCTGGACAACTTCAGCTAAAGAACATTTTTTCCATAAGATAAGTGGTGTTCTCAACCAAAAGAAAAAGAAAAAGAGGTTATAATGTTGATGCTTTTATTAGGAATAATATTAGAGGTATTAGATTTGGTTTCAGTGGGAGCAAAGATAGAAAGAGATGTCTCTCGAGATTTCAGAAGAGGCAGAGAAGAATATGCTAAGGGAAGATTCTTTCTTCCGGGATTCGCAATTTGCATATTTAATTGATTGATTTCTTCATCAAAAATCACCACTTCATTAAACTTCTCTTTTAAGACATTTGTACTTATTTTCTTAGGCGTCAGTATCACAAGCTGAACATGTCAACAGGAGATGTCATGGGAGATGCTATCTCGTAAATACGCGAATATATGTCTTCTGGCAATTGGACCTTCTTCATTGTTTCTCAAACGTAATTATACTGGTTAAACTAGCTGCAATGTCACAGAGGTCTTCTTTGATCGGCTTGTTGCTTAATAAAGCCGAAATTGATTGATTTAATCAACAAGCTATAAAAAAATTAATTGCATACGGAAAATGATTTTACAAATTTTAGAGATTGCTACAAAATAACTGTGTCATGCTTGTATCGGCCAAAGTGAACACAAAGACAAAGAGACATCACACTGAAGAAGAGTTTCCACCTTTTTAGTAATATGAAATGTTTTTTTGTTCTCTTCGATTAAGTCTTTTTTTCTCTTGTTTCCCTTCATACACAACTACAAAAAATATTTCACTGTCTGAATTTTTTTAAAAACAAAAGTTGATTTTATTTCCCTCAAACTTTAAGATATTTAGCTACAGTCTGAACATCTTTATCTCCTCTTCCGCTGAAGGTTAAGACGACTTTCGTTCCATCCCCTAACGTTGACATAGCAGCTTCTCAAGGTGCGCTAGAGCGTGCGATGTCTCCAGTGCTGGAATTATTCCCTCTAACCTCGCACTCTCTTGAACGCTACAAACCGCATTTTTTTCACGTTAAAGAACACAATTTCACGTTAATGAACACAAAATAAAAACTACACATTGATACTTACCTTCCAACGCTTCTTCATCCGTAACGCTATAGTATTCAGCCCGTCCCATGTCTTTAAGGAAACTATGCTCCAGGATAGTCCAATCTATAAGACATCCGGCTTCCCACCCCATTTCTCCAACGCTTGTCTCCTCGTTTCTTTACCAATCACCGCGTGAAAGTCTCTGACCATCATCGGGTAAGGATGAGGACCCGCCACAGATCCCAATATGTAATGTGTAGTCTCATCATTTGTCACCCAATCTCTTATCGCTTCTGATGTCGGGTCCTTCAATGTTGCTGTTCCAGAGTGAACTCCTCTCAACTCGGCACCAAGAAGTCGCATCCTGAAGACATTGAGTTCTTGTCTCTCCATATCTTGAGCACCCATGTAGATAAGTACACTGCAGACCAAAGCGAGCACAACCGGTGGCTGTAGCAACACCGTGTTGACCAGCTCCCGTCTCAGCGATAATTCTCGCTTGGCGAGAAGAGCCTGAGCCACGGCGTTGTTGATCTTGTGAGCTCCTGTGTGGTTCAGGTCTTCTCTCTTCAAGTATATAAGCGGCCCTTCCCCATTTTCGCGAAGGTAATGCTCTGTAAGCCTCTCTGCGAAATACAGAGGGCTTTCTCAACCCACGTAGTCCTTCAAGATCCCTGCCAACTCTCTCTAACAACATTCATCGACACAAACACACACAAGACATATGTCAAACTTTTGTTCTGTATCGACAAGATTCAAACTTTATCACAATCTGAAGACGATAACGTTATGATCCTAAAGACTCCACTTCACAAAATATTTCCTTTCTATTCAAATAATGAAGAACAATGTCTAAGAAACAGAGCCCACACAGCTGGAAACAGAGCCCACACAGCTGGAAACAGAGAGAAACTGAACAAGAACACCAAAGCAAGATCCAAACTATATCTTAATCTGAAACGCTAACGCTATGATCCTAACGACCCATATCGAAAAATGTTTCCTTTCTATCCCAATCACGAAGAACAAGGTGTAAGAAACAGAGACCACACACACAAACCTCGAAATCACCGTCGGTGACTAGAGAACGAAACGTCGTTTCGAGCTCAGAGAGCGCGTGCATTAGCGTCTCGGGGACGTACTTCCCACCAAACTTCCCGAACCGACCAAACGAATCGGGTCAGATCCGGGGACCAAGAGAACGGGCGGGTCCTTGGCGATAGTGCAGGAGACCGAGAGTGATTACCTTTAGTATAGTTCTAAAGATTGTATAAGATCTCAATATAATGAAATTCTTCTTTATTAGTTTAAGAAAACTTAACTCAGAAACTTAACCAAACTTAACGACTCACACAATCTCTCAAACTCTTTAGGTATGCAACATCTTCTTATATAGAATTCAATATTTCCTAAACTCTTAGGAACTAGTGTTTCCAAATCCCAACTCGACCAGGATTTCTATATCTTGGACTCCAAGTTATCTTTAAGCTTATTTCCAACATTTTTCCCCTTAAGCTTAAAGTTAACTTCTTGAATGTCTTGAACTCCTATAAGTGCTTTCATCTCTTTGAACTTGATCCTTCCTAATGTTTTAGTTAGGATATCTGCCTTTTGTTCCGTTCCTGGAATATGCTGTACGTGAACTTGCTCATTCTCGATGCACTCTCGGATGAAATAGTAGCGTTTGCAGATATGTTTGTTGTATCCATGAAACACTGGGTTTCTTGTGAGTGCTATAGCCGATTTGTTGTCAAGTCGTATCACCACTCTTCTGCTTGATTTCTCAGTAACATCTTCGAGTAACTCTTGAAGCCATATAGTTTGCTTAGCAGCCTCTGTTACCGCCATAAACTCAGCCTCACACGATGAAAGCACCATTTCTTGTTTTTGTGAACACCACATAATTGAAAAATCATTTAAATAGAAAACATGACATGTGGTGCTTCTACCATCATCCTCGTCTATATTATGACTTGAATCGCTATATTCTTCTAGCTCTGTTGAGTTTGCTTGCTTGTAGACTAGGCCTAGCATAGTTGTTCCTTTGAGGTACCGTAATACATGCTTCAAGGTTGCTCTATGAGAAGTTTTGGATTGTGCATATACCTACTTAGTAGACCCACACTGAAAGCAAGGTCTGGTCGCGTGTGGAGTAGGTATCTTAGGTATCCGATCTTCCTTCTATAGTCTTTCTCGTCTATATTCTCTTCTTCGTCTGCTTTTGACATCTTTAAGCCGAACTCCATGGGAGTGTGAGTAGCATTGCACTCATCTATACCTGTTTCACATAAGATTTTGTTTGCATATCGTTCTTGTGTTAGTGTGATCTTCCCTTTGCTTTGATATACTTCAATGCCGAGATAGTATGTTAGTAACCTGAGATCACTCATCTCAAAGTTGTTTGCCATCTCTGTTTTGAACTCATGTATCATTGTCAGATTGGAGTCAGTAACTAGCAAATCATGGACGTAAACGGCGACTAGCAGAGAGTGATCCTTGTCTTTCTTACTATACAAGGAAGGTTCTTTTGTGCATCTTTTAAATTTTAAGCGGGAATTCGGCCAAAAAAATCACGAACTCTGCACGAATTGCCAAATAAAACCTCAACTCGAAGCTGACCAAAAAAAATACTGTACTTTTATTGACTTTTTAATTTTATTTGAGAACTTATCATTGACTCGCCATTTTAGTACACCGTCAATCTTACCGTGTAGACGCCGTTATTTTGACGTTAAATATCAATGTTAAGTGAAACGACGTCGTTTTGTATGTTTTTAAAACGAAAAATATGTTTATCCGAGGACTCGAACTCGAGAACTCGAAACCAAACAACATGCTCTTTCGCCACCGAGCTAACGACACTTTTGATGAATCTCAAACATATTTCCTTTTATTAAGTATCCAAAAAATCTTTAAGAAACTTAAAATTTTACAAAATTCAAAAAATCAATAAAATTCTAAAAATATTAAAATAAAAAATAAAAATAAAAAAGTAAAATACAAATAAAATTTCTTTTTCTCTAAAATAATTAAAAAATTCATAAAAATCTAAAGAATCCAAAAATGCGAAAACTAATGATTAAAAATATGACAAAAAAAACTAGTGATTAAAATCTTTAAAAAATTATTTTTTATATACAAATTTATGTATCTAAGATCATTTGTGTATTTTATCTTTAATTCATTAATCATACAAAAAATATAGTGTGATAAATATAATCGTGTCTATTATATTGCATGCATTCATTTATATAAGAGCAAATTATTTTAATCATTAATTTTATTTTTTTTCATTTGAATTTTTGAGATTTTTTTATTTTTTAATTTGTTGGACGTTTTTTGTTTTTTTATAAATTAATATATTTGAGATAAAACACAAAAATGATATTTATCACACTATATGTTTTAATACAATTTTTGTTTTCTAAAAACAATAAAAAAATTGTTGCTAAGATATGATAACAAACAAACATACACCAAAAACTAAAAATGTTTTTTATTTAATTATTATCTAGTAATGTATATAAATCTTTATTTTTTGTTATATGTTCATTCAGTATCATATTTTAGCAAAACAATTTGTGATAATATTATTTGTTTATTTTATCTTAATTATCATTTCTATTTTATCTTAAATACATTATTCATACAAAAATTTATAGTGTGATGAATATCATTTTTTATTTTATCTTACATACATAAATTTATATAAAAATAGGTTTCAATTTTTTTAATCATTAAATTTAATTCATTGCATTTCTTTGAATTATTTTAGAATTTTTCAAATTTTTAATGTTTTTATTTTTTAAACAAAAAAATTATTTGCAATTTCAATTTTAATTTTACCTTTTCAGAATTTTCTTGAATTTTTAAGATTTTTGGAAGTTTTAAAAAATAATTTAGATTTTTCAAGATTTTTTTGATACTCAATAAAACAAAACATGTTAGAGATTTCCTTAAAAGTATTTGTAGCACAGTGGCAAGAAACCTCAAATTTGGCCATGAGTTCTCAGGTTCAACGCACACAATCGACATGTTTTATAATAAAAATAGGTAAAACGACGTCGTTTCATCCCATCTCAAAACGACGTCGTTTTACTTAACAGATCTTAACAAACGGTGTTCAATCCTTCTGTCAAATTTATTAACGGAGTGTTTAATTGGCAAGTCAACGATAACTTACTGATTAAAATTCAAAAGTCAAATATTGTTCAGTATTTTTTAGGCCAACCAATATATTCGTGTTTGTTTTGGCAATTCATGTAAAGTTGGAGCTTTTTTTGGCCGAATTCTCAATTTTAAACCTTCAAGTACCTTGTTAAGCTTCTCGTTCCATGCTCTTTGAGCTTATCTCAGACTGTACAAGGCTTTGTTGAGCTTATATACTTTGTCTTTTTGCCCTTTAATCTCAAAACCTTCAGGTTGGTTTACATAAACCACTTCTTTCAAGTTTCCGTGAAGAAAAGCGGTTTTGACGTCCAAAATGATGAATCTCCCATCCATGAGACGCTGCTAACGCAATGAGAAATCTGACCGTTTCTATTCGTGCAACCGGTGCAAAGACTTCGTCAAAATCAATTCCATACTTTTGGATGTATATTCATTATATGAATCTAAGCGCTCCCAAAAGCAGAAATAAAGGGGCACATGAAATGAAAAAAAAAACGACAAAGAAGATAAACCTTATCAAATCCCGGAACAAAGTGAGAGGCAAGAACCCTAGTAACTACCACAAGCGACCTATATATAACTACCAGAACATGACCGGATATCTCCAATATCTCTATCTCAAAACCAGAATTAAACACTTTTGTGCTTTTGGAGCTCGGAAGTAGATAATTATTCATGCGCTTTTCATGTTCTGATTTTTGGCTTTGTTACGCTGATACAGAAACTGTTTATATCAATATACGCCAGAAACTGTTCATGTTACAGAAACTGTTTATATCAATATACATTTATGTCTTCTTTATGTCGTTTATAAGTTGAATTTTATCTTTGTTTTGGCATCAAGTATAAGATTCATTGGGCCTCCATCATTTGCAAACGAGAAATAACTTGTGCTTTCAGTTGCGTTGATTATAACACTACAAGAAAACTGGCGGAAACCGACGGCCAAAATCGTCGGTATTTCGTCGGAAAACGCATATTCCGACGACAACTTGACGATTTTGGTCGTCGGTATAACTTCGTCGGAAAAAAAAATTCCGTCGGAAATCCGTCAGAATTTCCGACGATATTCTGACGAAACAATTGCGTCGGAATATTCGTCAGAATATTCCGACCGATATAACGTCGGACTTTCGTCGGTCGTCAGACAATATGCCGACGCTTGTGTTTCGTCGGTATTTCCGACGACCGTAATGCGTCAGTATATTCCGACGACATATTCCGTCGGTATATCCGTCGGTATATACCGACGGATAACTACGTCGGTATATTCCGACGGATCTATTCCGTCGGAATATACCGACGGTTTTGTTTCCGTCGGACCTTTCTAATTTAAAAAAAAAATAAAAAATTATGCATTTTTAAATGTTTTTATTATTATTAAAATTTGATAAATAATTAAAATATGAAATTGAAAACTAATAATATTATACCAAATAAGTTTATACAAACTTGAACTGAAAATTAAAACATAGAGAAAGTTTAAAAACAATAAAAACTTAAACTAAGATCCCGAAGTAGAACCCGGCGGAGGAAACAACTGATCTAGCCTCGCCATTATCATGCTATTGGTCTGCTTTTGATCCGCCAGCTGAGAAAGGATTGTGGCGTTCTGCGCCTCCAAAGCCACAATCCGCTCATCTTTGTTCTTCAGCTCCTCAAGAATCAACGGATCAACAGACGGGACTTGTGAAGAAGAAGAAGCCGAAATTGAATCAGCCCGACGGGCCAACCCAACTAAATGGCCTTTCTTTTTAGGAACCGCCTACAAAATATTTAATGTTATTAAAATATTAAAATATAAATTAAGCAATGAAAAAAAGAAATTACCTTTTCGACCATCTCGTTTATTTGCAGCCGAGACAAGGTGGCCGAAGCTCCCGTAGAATCGACTTCATCGGTGAGAGGCTGAGAAGCTAGAAAAGCTTCTTTTTGAGATTCCACCATCTCAAT